ATGTTTGAAGGCTTAATCCCAAAACTTGGAAATTTTAGGCATGCATGTAAAGCAGATGCACATACTAGTTATATTTCAGTTCAAAAACAGATAGAGATGTCTCGTTGGATGGCTCCCGAACAGATCAAAAGATATCAAGATTCTGTTGAACAAGATCGTGAAAAGTCTAGGTAGATCATATAAGAATATTTTTAGACATAGTGATTTTGGCCGATCATAATTTTTCGGCCATGACTAAGCCGATAAGTTTTATCGGCTTAGCCGGCTTAGCCGATTTTTAAATTACACCATTTAAGGGTAGGGTGAAATGATCTACATTTCAATAGTGATCACGTTACTAAAATTTTTTACAATAATATTTCGCGAAATCTACGGACAGTGCTTAGGGACAGTGCGATCACGTGATAATAAACAGTGCGGTCACGTGATGCATAGGACAGTGCAGTCATGTGATGCGGCTTTAGTCATTTGAGTTACTACTATATTAACTAATACAGACTTCTCTAAATACATCAAATAGGATTATGTTTGTAATATGCATTTAGAAAACAATAAAATAATGTTAGATTAAAACTACCGTTTAGCAGGTGTAATTGCAATTAAATTATTATGCAATTACATTCTATTTTGAAACTGGAAATATTAATTGCACCCACCTGCAGGTCTAAGAAAATTTAAAAATAAAAATATAAATTATGCAGGTCTTTAAAAAAAAAGAAAAAAGAAATCATTTGATAGCTTGACCTTTTTTATTTAATTACTTACAAGCTTATTTTTTTTAAACTACAATTTCTGACGTCAAATATCAACCAATATACTTTTATGTCGGATATATCTTCAGCTAATTTATCAAGTTTAGAATTTGCAATTCCGACTTCAAAATCAATTTTTTCAAGATCCTAAAATCAGCAAATGCAAAGTTGTACTTAAAATTGATATAAAATTATAATTTTTCAGATTATTTATACATACATCTAAGGCTTTATTAATTCTTTTAACTTCTTCTTCTTTTTCATTTTCATTAGTAATTATAGAAAAATGCAAATCTTTCATACAGGTATCATATTGTTTAATCAATTTATGAAATTGTTGTTTGACTTTACCAGCTTCAACAAATTTTCTAAGACCTTTAAGTTTTGCAATATGATCAGTGAATTCTTTAATCTCTTTCAAAACATCTACAAAATTTTTGAGGGATAAAAAATATTCTTTTTCAAAAAGATAATCATCAGCTTTTCTCAACATCTTTCTAGAACATATTTTGCTGCTGTTACCCGATCAGTCATGACAGCACACATTTCTTTATTACATTCTGCATTCTCATAAACTTTATAAATTTCTTCAAATATAATTTTCACAATATCAACTAAAGGGATGTAAACAGACATTTTATCTTTTATGGTGGATATTTCTAATTTATCAATTGCAATTCCGACTTCAAAATCAATTTTTTTAGGATCCTAAAATCAGCAAATGACAAGTTGTTCTTAAAATTGATATAAAATTATAATCTTTCAAAATATTTATACATACCTCTAAGGCTTTATTAATCCTTTTAGCTTCTTCTTCCCTTTCATTTTCATTAGTAATTTCCATAGAAAAATGCAAATCTTTCATACAGGTATCATATTCTTTAATCAATTTATGAAATCGTTGTTTGACATTATTAGTTTCAATAAATTTTCTAGCACCCTTAAGTTTTGACACTTGGTCGGTAAATTCTTCAATCTCTATCAAAACTTCTACAAATTGTTTGAGAGACAAAGAATATTCTTTTTCATAAATATAATCAACGCCTTTTCTCAACATCTTTTCTAGAGCATATTTTGCTGCTGCTACCCGCTCCAGCATGACAGCACACAGTTCTATATTACATTCTGCATTCTCATAAATTTTAAGGATATCTTCAAATAAAATTTTCACTAAATCAACTAAAGGGATGTAGGAAGCAGCGATTTGGACATTATTGAATGCGCCAGGTTCATTCTTATCAATTCTAATTCCTGATTTTTGATAATAAAAAAATGCTTTATATTCATTTTTTTCGACGCCAATTCCTTTATCATAACAGTAACCAACATTATATGTCCCATTAGCGTCTCCCATCTCTGAAGATTTTTTATAACAAATGAATGCTTCGCGATCATTTTTTTCAATTCCAATGCCATCTTTATAGCAGTGGCCAAGGTTACATGTTCCACCAGCATGATTCATATCAGAAGAATTTCGATAGTAAGTAAAAGCCAAATGATTATCCTTTTTAACGCCAACTCCTTTTTGATAACAACGGCCTAGATTATACATTCCACTGCTATGTCCCATACACGCAGATTTTTGATAATATGTAAATGCTTTATTTTCATTTTT